GACTCACATTGTGGCCCAAAGCACGAGGATCATTCCGTCTCAGATTAAAACCTCCAAGACGAGGAGGTCAGCCTGCTGGGTAGAAGTTCTGCCGCTCCAGCGAGAGGACTGGAGTTCAGATTCCCAGCACCTCCACACGCTCTGGGTGGGCATGGCAGAGTGCCCATAACCCCAGCACTGATAAGGAGAGGTAAGGGTTATCTAGAGCAAGCTCTAGCTGGGCTAGTTGAGTCAGCCGGCTCTGGGCTCAAGTGAGAGACCCTGCCTCAATGTGTAAGAGTTATAGAAGGAGGCACCTGACTTTAACCTCTGGCCTACACATTCACACACAATGTAAACACACACACACTCACACCCACATACAACATAAACACATACAGTCACACACCCATGCCCACACACAGTGTAAACACATAAACACACCCACATACAATGTAAAGACATACACTCACACGTATACCCACACACAATGTAAACTCACATGCACACTCATACCGTGTAAACACACACACACAAATCCCTCTAAAGCTGAGTTTAAAAGTTTAAAAGGGCACTTAGTCATAGGAAAGTGGACTAGCTAAGTTTAAGGGAATATAGCTTTTTGTTGTTTGTTTTTTGCTTTTCGAGGCAGGGTTTCTCTGTGTAGCCCCGGCTATCCTGGAACTCACTCTGTAGAGCGAGCTGGTCTTGAACTCGTGAGTGCTGGGATTACAGGCATGCACCACCACAACCAGTGAGTAATAGTTCTTAAAATGGGCCAGAAAGCAGCTTCCCAAGGTCAAGAATGCAGCTCTAGGGACTGAAGAAGTGGCTCGGTGGGTAAGGTGCTTGTGTCCGGCCTGATATCTGAGTTTGATCCTTGGGTGCTACACAATGGGGAGAACCACCTCTTCCAGGTTGTCCTCTGAACCCCACAGCCAGGCTGTGCACACACGTGAACACACAAATAAAGAAATGTTTAAAAAGGACCACCCAAAGGGAACCCAGCTCCTGCCAGCTGCCCTTCCCTGAGTGTCTGGGGTCCTGCTCTAGAGTCAGTCTGCCTTAGGAGAAAGTACAACTTAGAAACCGCTCTCCTGGTCCATGAAATGCCAGACATCGAGCTGGTATGCAGACATGAGCTGGCCATAGCTCCTTCCTGGAGAGGGTGCGTGTGAAACAAGCTAGGGGCAGTGACACAAGGGCGGTCTGCTGCTCCGGAAGATGTCCAACTGCCTGGCACTGCGCCAAAAGCACATGCCACCTTGCTCAGGCCTGACAGTCTGGTGTTCCTATGCTGCGGAGGACAGGCTCTGGGCTCTGCAAAGAAGGAACCTGCTGTGGCACAGGAGCTCTCGGCCATTAGCTGCAGTGTCAACATTTTCCTGAGCCTGCTCTGCTGGGCCCTGGGGACTTTTATGAGAAGCTCAGGGGGATGGGAGTCCACAGCAGGCGAACAGCTGGTGTTCCTGCAGGACAGATGACAAGCTGGAGCTCCGAGAGGCACGACGTGCTCTAGCAGGCCACTCAGGCCTGGGCCTGGGGTCTCTTGACCATCGGACAGTATACTTCCTTCCATTTAAGAGCTCTCAGGGTTGCCGTCATGTCCCTGGCACCCTTCCCGCCAATCTTCCCCTGCATCTTCTGTTGTCCTTGCCTCCTAGTATTCTTCAGGGGGCTCTAGGCCTGAGGGGCCTCTAGGCTGAGTGCATGGTTGAGCCCAGGCTTCAGGGAAGGGCTGGAGCTGTTCACTCTTGGCTTCTTGCCTGCAGTGGATGGCACATTACTGAAAAGTGCTTGAGGGAGGGACAGTCTGTCAGGAGGAAGAGACTCCTCAGGGAAAGGAGTGTGCCTGAAAGAGATCTGGCCTTCCTTGTCCCTCTCCCAAGGCCTTGGTTCCAACTGCCACCACCACCTCCTGCCCCCGTACCAAGAGTCCCAAAGCACAGGAAACTGGCTGACACCTTAATCAAAGGGTCAGGAACAATAGATGGGGTATCTGGTGTGGTGAAAAAGGCCAGCAATGAGGTAAGATCCCAAGAAGTAGGCTCCTCCAAGGGCTCAAACTGTGGCAGTGGTGACTTGGCTATGATGGAATTCAGGTAGGGCAGATACAGTTGGAACCGGATCTAGAGACAAGGAGCTAGAGTGCACAGCAGTTAATTCTCCATCACGTGGTCGGTCAGAGAGGGCAACGGCCTGTTAACGGCCACAGAGTCAGCGCCACAAAAGCTGTGCACTGTGAGGCCAGTGACCCCTCGGGCCCATAGCGTCCCTCCAGGCATGTCTTCCCAGAGGTGTGAGGCAGGAGAGTGTAGGGTTACACATCCCCAGCCTTACACAAACCCCTGACTACAGCTCCAGGCTGGCCTTCCTGGGCCACAAATGCATGCTGACAGAAATGTCACCAGATTCTGGATTGACTGGGATTCTCGTGGTTCTCTGCAGCTGCTCTGCCCTTTACCATGAGAACATTTTAGTAACGTTTTTCGGGCTGTCCCCATCTGCTTGGGTGCACAGCGGGGCAGGCAAGGCTGCCCCATGTTTGCAAGGATGACCATGTTCCTGATTCCACTTGCCACAGGCCTCCCTGGCCTGGGAAGTTAGAGGGGAATGCTGGGAAGAGGAGCCTCTGAGGCCCACCAGTGTTAGGTGGCCAGGGACCAGGTGGCAGGCTGGGGGCTCTGCCACCCTACTTCCAGGCCTGAGGGCTGCTCCGGGCTGCAGTTCAGCCAGGGCCCAAGGGAATCCCTTCTTTATTGCATAGTGATTCCATTTCTTTAACTCTCTCTTCAACTGCAGCAGCAACCAGTCTCAACCATGGCGATGAGAGGCAATAACTCACAGGGAAGCTCCAGTGACTCTACAGTCACAGCAGTGTGCACTCACCCTGTGACCTCATTTGCCCCTCACCATGGCTGTGAAAGGACCCAGTTTTACAGACAAGAAAACTGAGATATAGAAAGGCTAAGCACCTGGCTCAAATTCACACAGCCAATAACTGGGATACACAATCAGGCCCTGGAGTCTGTTCTTAGTCATTCATACCATTATCTCTAGTTTCATTCCTAGCTGGTTTCCCAGAGGACACACCCAGGACTAAAGAGGCTCAAAGCAGTTCTCTGAAGACCAGAGGCAGCCATTTTTTTCCATAAGCCCTTCTTCCCCAGGGAAGTCCTTGCACAGTTCCTGTCTTCTCTCAGACCAGAAGGATCTTTGCTGCCGGTTCTTGGGGTGACAGGTGAGTTAAGCAGACGTGGTTTTCTCACTATCACCTCAGCTGTGGACCCACAGCGCAAAAGTAGCTGAGATTCCAGCCACTGCCACAGCTGGTTCCCAGACAGACCTACAGGGGACAAGAGTGTGTAGTACCGGCTACCCACACTACGCTCCTACAGCCAGCAAACCGGGCCCCAATCAGGGTACAGCCGCTGGGTAGCAGGTGGCCTTGCCAAGTTACTTTACGACTCCTGCCCTCTAGCATGGCAGCGGGTAGCAGCAGATGGAGCAGGAGAGACGCTGGAGATGAAGAATGCCAGGCGATGATCGAGGTATGGCAGTGCATTCCTATAATCCTAACTACTTGAGATACTGAGGCAGGAGGATCATAAATTTGAGACCTACCTGAGCAAAGAGGGGGTTAATTAATCTCAAGAAGAGGAGGGGAAGCACCAAGTGAGAGTTTTCAATGAGGGGACCACAAGATGGCTTAGTGGGTAAGTACTTGTGGTACAAGCCTGGTGACCTGTGTTTAATTTCTGGTGACCCAGGTAAAAGTGGGAGGAGAGAACTGATTAAACAAAGTTGTCTTCTGACCCCTACATAGGCACAGCTGCATGTGTGTCCATTCATGTGGCCCCACATCATACACACACGTAACAATAAATTAACTTAAATAAAGTAAGACTTCCTTCAGACGAGCACAATATAAACACATCATCATGATCCACTGTGTGCTTGTGCCCACTGCTGGGCTGAAAGCTCCCGAGGATGAGACCCTCTCAGGGCCATCCAAGTCCCCGGCTTCCAGCACAGAACAAGCGTTAACTCTTTGTGATTAACATATGACCGACTTGTCAGATGTGATGCACAGGAAAGAGGACAGCAGAAGAGACAATCTGAGCTTTTGAGACAAAACAGTGTTAAAGAGGAAAGGGTAAGTGGTGTTCCCTCAGTAGGGCTACTGAGCTGGACTTTGGAGGCTCAGCAACAACAACAAAGCCTAAAGAACAGGATCTGTGTCCTACAAATAGCTTCCAAACTGGGCGTGGTCAGATAGGCCTGTAATGTAGCTACTCTAGAGGCTGAGGCAGAAGGATGCCAACCAAGTTCAAGGACTGTCTGGGCTACACAGCAAATCCTAGGACCTCCCCAGCAACTAAATGAGAGCCCGCCTGAGAATGAAAAATAAAACATAAAGGCTCTCAGGGGCAAAGTGTAGGCCTAGCATGTGGAGAAGGTAGCAAGATGACACAACGGTTAAGAGAGTATACTGCTCCTGCAGAAGACCTGAGTTCTGTTCCCAGCACCTGTGTTGGCTGAGTCACAACCTCCTGTAACTCCACTTCCTGAGGATTTGATGCCCTTTTCTGGCCTCTGTGGGCATAGGAACACACGCACACATACATACACGCCCACACAAATACAGAAAAAATAAAGAAAAAGAACATGTGGGGCTCGTGGCAGGCCTCCGGAGGAAGCGGCACAGCACTGCCAAGATAGAGCATATTCAAACCCTGGAAATCTCCAACTTGAGATTTAGAATCCCACCCTGAGAAAGAAAGGTGTGGGACAACGCTCTCCCCTGCTTCTATGCCTGCCTCAGAAGCACAAGACACAACCCCCAGGTAGCAGGTGGTCAGTCACATGAGCTTGTTACCTGTCATCTTTCCTTAGGCAAACAGAGCAATGCCAGTGCCCTGAGTCCCAGCCAATGAGACACATTCATCCCTAAAACCTCTCTCCACTGCCCAAAGTTTGTAACTCCCTGTTTCACATGAAATAAAGCTTCAAGCACCATCTACTTCACCAAAGGACGCCTGAGACTGGCTGTTTATTCTGAGTTGTAGCACTGGGGAAAGAAAAGGCTCCTTCTCCCCGAAAAATGCATTGCTGGACCCCCGGACTCAAGGGCCCACCAAGCAGTCGCTGTAGAGCCTCCTGGGTCACTGCTAGGGCTTGCGCAGCCGCACTGAGCGCTGCCACTCCACCCACCACAGTCCAAGTCAGGCCGGGCCCTCGCTGCCACCTGGTCTGGCGCCGGCAGCTAAAAGAGAAGCACACTTATTTTAGAGAAAATCTCCTTTTCCCTCAACCCCCGCCCCCAACACCCTCACACACACCCTGGCTGGACTGACCCTACACAGGATTCTGGGCTACATCTTCCCCAACCCCCCAAACTAACGAGGCTTGGCCTTTCTGGTGGAGAAGGGCACACTTCCGGTTTGGTGGTTACCAGGCCTCAATGAAGGTGTGGGTCACACAAGGAAAGAGTAGGGAAGGTAGCGAATGTCTTCAATCCCAGCACTGGAGAGGCAGAGGCAGGTGGATCTCTGTGAGTTTGAGGCCAGCCTGGTCTACTAAGTGAACTCCAGGACAAGGACTATGTAGAGAAACCCTGTCTCAAATGAAACAAACAAACAAAAAAAAAAAAAACCAAAACCAAGAAAAGAAAAGAAAAATGAGGTCTGCTGACTTTAGCAAGCTTCGCTAACATGCAAGCATGAGTGGCTGTGAAGATGGATGTGCTGGCACAGCTAAACCACTCAGCACAGGGCCTGGTGCCTGTGTTCAAAGTGCATTTCCTCTCACTAACTGGGACAACGACAGCACCTGCAGAGTGGCCATGTCAATGCGACAGTTTAGTTAGACGCCTCCCCTCCACAACAATAACTCAGTAAAAGCTGGTTTCCAAAAAAAAAAAAAAAAATTGTAAACTAAGCAGGGTGGTGGTGGTGGCGCACATCTGTGATCCCAGCACTCAAGAGGCGGAGACGGGCCAATCTGTGAGTTCAAGGCCAGCCTGGTCTACAGAGTGAGCTCCAGGACAGCCAGGACTACACAGAGAAACCCTGTCTTAAAAAACTGACAAACAAACAACAAAACCAAAGTAAACCAAGGGCTGTGGGGCTCAGTGTTAGAGTGCTTGTCTAGCATGTACAAAGCCCTGAGTTTCATCTCTAGCACCACGGGGCTGTGAAACAAACAAACAATCTGGTGTTGCTCTTTACTCTGCTGGGCTTCACATGACCACAAGTCGTTTTTTCAATACATTTTCCAGCACAGAAAAGAGAGAACATTTAGTGACACAGTATCTGATGTGATGTGCTTCGGTCTTCCCACATCTCACTTTAGATTACACCCTGATCCTTACCTGATGGACAAAGAAAAGGGTCTGTGGGGTAAAGTGACTTCACCACAGCTATGTAAGTGGGAAGGGCTGCCATAATTAGAATCCAGGTCTCCCAACTCCTAACTCCAGTTTCTTGAGCTTCATGAAATCTAAGCCTGGCAGGATCAACAGAACAAGAATTCAAGTCTGCAATATGTCTCCCCTGCATAAACACTCAGAAATAAATCTGCTCCCGGTACCTGGGCAGGAACCATCCCTGTGCCCAGAAAAGCCAGGCTCTGTGCCTGCCTCCAGGATTTCCATAAAGCAGCTGGCTCTTGTTTCAATCCACTGGACAGTCTCTCTAGGTTGTGGTGGAAGGGATGACACATCCATAGGGACGTCAAGTCTACAGAAGGTAACAGCTCAAAATCTACCTGGAAATACAATAGTGATACTGGGCTGTCTGGGCCAGGAGAAAGGAGGCGGAGCCAGGCATGGCTCTGCCCTCTGATGGGCCCTAATGTCTTCCAGGCTTACCCACTCATGGTGCTCACCACGGATGGGCCTGGTTCTGTGTATCATCACTTGAGACTCAGTGGAATGGACACAGAAGCACCTTCATACTGTGATGTGGCAGAGGAGGCTGGTAAAAGACGGATAAGAACAGATGGGCCACTGCATGTAGGAGAGGGCAAGCAACCTCAGAGGAAGCCACAGCGGTGAAGCCAGTCATCTCTGGGAGGCCAGGTGGGAAAGGCTGTTCTAAAGCAGAAAACTGTGTCCAAGGACTGTATGTACATTTCCTTGTGGTTTGTAGGAGCTTTCTGTTTTGTTTTGTTTTTTAAATTCATTTGTTTTAAAGACAGGGTTAGCTATGTAACCCAGGCTGGCCTCAAACTCACAGCAATCCTCTCTGTGTGCTTTGGCCTCCGAAGTAATGAGATTAAAGTGAGCTTGTTTTTCTCTTGACTTTACTCTTCTACCTCCACCAATCCCTCTTTCCAGTTGCCAGAAGTTTCCCAGTCCTGCTTCTACATATATAGTGAGGAACCTTTCTTCACCTTGAACTTCTACCTACCTCCCAAAACCCAGGCAGGCATCACCTCCTCTAGGAAGCCCTCTTCGCACACTCCAGACTAAGTCTGCTGCCCCTCCAAACTGAGATGCTAGGTGTTCTACATTAGTGCTCACTGGCCAGGCATCCTAGCACAGCCTCAACCCTGAAAAAGATGACACTAGGGAAGACAGGGTTGATCCCCTGGCAAAGGGGAGGAGAGAGTGGACACATGAGTAGAGAGCAGTGACGTTTGAGGCCTTCTGAGGTTCCTAAGGCTTGTAGCCAGCCTGGAACTAAGGCTGCACAGTGAAAAGGACACTGGCACATAGGCCTGAGGCACACAAGCCGATTCTGCAGGCCTTAGAGGGTCTCCCCAAACTGGGACAAGGCCCCCAAACTTCAGGCCTCACCCCATCTACATGAGGTTCAGCCAAGTTCTACTGCCATCAGCCTTAATTCACCCTGTGGTTCAAAGAACCTTTTCAGTGACCTCAACTCTACCTTATAGCCCTCCTTCCGTGCCCAAGCAGAAGCCTTTCTGGTGTCCTGGAGCCTGCAGTCACCAGAGTTCTCCATAAAGCACAATGAATTCCCCTGCAGTGAGGTACATGATGACTCACACCGCACAGAGGGAAGGACAGGACCAGGACAGCAGTAAACAGTGTGTGTTGACGACAGACAGAACTGGCAGCCACAGGATTGGCAGGAAAGGGGGGTGTGGGGAGCAGGGGCCGTGTGTGTGACAGGTCAGTAGGCTCTCATGCTGAGTCTCAGGGCTGGTAAGGGGCCATGTGATACACACTGACTTCTTTCCATTTTCTCAAAATGGACATGGGATGTTTTGTTTTGTGTGCTTTTGGTTTTTCAAGACTGGGTTTCTCTGTGTAGCCCTGGCTGTCCTGGACTCTTTGTAGACCAGGCTGGCCTCAAACTCAGAGATCTGCCTACCTCTGCCTCCCTGAGTGCTGGGATTAAAGGCGTGCACCACATCGCCCGACTTGCTTTGGTGATCTTAAGCAGGTCCATGTTAATTTAACAATGTAAGTGCTCTTAAAAGGCAGTTGTCTTTGCTGAGTCCAAGAATCCAAGACCCTTTTCTGGCAGCTGCGTGCACATGCTGTACATATGTACATTCACACACACACTCATATACACATAAAATACTTTAGAGAAAACGGCCAGGCAAAGAGGTCTACACCTTCGACCCCACCACTCGAGAAGCAGAGAAAGGTGGATCTCTGTTAGTTCGAGGTCATCCTAGTCTACAGAGTGAGTTCTCGGCAGAGAGCTACATAGTGAGACCCTGGCATGGAAAAACAAAACAAAACAATAACAAAAACCCACTTGCTGCTCTATCAGAGGACACCCCCCCAAACTGAGCTTCTAGCACCCACATTAGGGGGCTTACAACCCCTTTAGCCCCAGCTCCAGGGCAACCCCACACCGTCTTTTGGCCTTCTTAGGTATTGCACTCATGGACACATGCCCACACACATAAATAAAACTACCAATAAAAAATTTTAAATAAAACTATGCCCAGACGGTTAACTATTCCTCTGGAGCAGACACTAGGCACTTTACGGCAAAGCATCACTCAGTTGTCTCGACGGCGCTAAAGCACTGGTGCGGCTATTATCCTCATTTAGAGGCCCAGAATGGCTGGCTGCCAACGTGGCTCGGCAGGCTGAGTCACTTGTTGTGAGCCCCAACTACCCAAACTCTGTCTATCCCTGGTTCCTACAAAGTGGGGGGTGAGAACCGACTCCCCAAAGCTGACCTTTGACCTCTACACATGCAGCATGGCACCCATGCCCCCACGGAAAAAAACAATTTCAGCGTAATTTTTAATTTTTTTTAAAGCTCATAAGGGGAGCAGGTGTGATGGTGTGTGCCTTAATCTACTTAGAAGCATGAATCTGAGGCTCAACAGTAAGTTGCAACTAAGCCCAGGATACAAAGCAAGATCCTGGAACACACGATACATAAGGGGAAGACTACAGTTTTCCCACATCCTTGCCCCAAGAACACAGCCAAGGCTACAGAGCAGGGAACTGATGCTAGAGGATCCTGGTCCTCCTTTCATACCCCAACCTGTGGAGACACCTTCCTGCACGGCCGTGCGTCAGCCAGAATAACAGAGCAATCCCCACAGTGACATTAAAGGGCAGTCTCTTGTGCCCTGATAACCTCTACCTAGAGCCCCGAGCAGGCCTTGCCTGTGTGGTCGGCAGTATCGCCAGACAGCCTCGGTGTCTGGTTTCAATGTGCCTTCACCCCATGGCACCACTGGCACTGGAAAAATCTAAATGACATTCCTGGCAGGGGAGGCTCTTCTTGGCTCCCTAGCTTTCAACCTTGGGGTGAGAAGGAGGTGAAAACAGAATGCTGGAGCTTACAAGAAACCTGGAGGTGACCCAGTGTCCAGTCGCTGTCTCGTCCTTTCATCCCTGGAGGCCTGGTGCGGGGGGCTCTTGCTCCCGCAGCATTCCATCGCTGGCCTAGCCTGTCTCAGGCTGCTCTAAGGACCTGCAGCTGTTCCACATGCACTTTGCCTCCTATCTGAGGTGTGGCAGGGGCTATGGAGAAACAATGCTCTCAAGTTTCAAAAACTTTCAGTGCTTGTTGCTAGAAATTTTAGAGCCATGAGAATGCTAGATTGTCCTTTCTTTCTGGTGGGCTAAGATACAGTCTGCAAAATGCAGACACAAGACAGAGCTGAAATTGATCACACCAAATACCTGTTGTCCTGAGTAACCCTCTCAGCCCAAGGCCTGTGCAATTCAGAAGCATCACAATGAGTTCAATACACTGCTTAGCATGTATTAAGCACAATGTGTGGCAAGGTGACGCAGGAGAGGCAAGAAGAAAGCAGCACAAAGAGAACCTACGATTCCCAGGAAAATCCTGCAGAAAGTGAGTCACAATGTCCCATTCTCAGCTGCCACAGAGGAGGGCAAGCGGTTGCTCAGGGAGAGAGAACAGTGGCCCCTGGGAGGCAATGGGCCCTGTGTCCCTCCCAGCTCAGTTTGCTTACAGGGACTGTTAAGTGCTGTGTATTACCTGTGATAGAGAAGGGGTGTTAGCCACCTCACAACCTGACCTCTCAGAGAGCCATAAAGATTGGTGAGAGCCGGGTGGTGTAGCCTGCACGGCTACAGAACAGCAAATTCAAGGCTACCCTGGACAACCTATGGAGACACTAGCAAAATAAAAAATAGAAAATGGCCTGAGGACATAGCTTGGAGGTAAACATTTTACTAGTTTATGCAGGACCATGGGTTTAATCTCTGGTACTCTAAGGAGGTGAGGAGGAGAGAAGAAGGAAAAGGAAGAAGACAGGAGGAGGAGGCAGCAGTGGCAGAGGCGGCATCAGTGAGCATGATGGAGGAGGCAGCTGCAGTGGAGTCTCTGGAGGTGCGTGCTCAGGCGCACAGGTGGATGTGTACAGCGACAAGGAGGCAGGAGCCGCGAGCTCTGACAAGAGGCCCCTCCCCTTTCTGTGTTTCCCCTAGAGCTGCTCTGACTCCTCTGTGCTTTGCACACCCCATATCCCGACATAGAGGCTTCTGCCTCTTCCTTTGGGACCTGTGACTACTTCTGCTAACAACTAACCACTATGATGGCTTGCTGGGAACACTGCACAGCCCCTGTCAGTCTCCTTTGCCCACTGTAGTTTCTGCTCTTCCTATGCCAGCCAAGAGGGAACCACCTTTAAAAGGCAAGGCGGTCAGGGTGATGAACACCTTTAATCCCAGCAGTCAGGAGGTAGACTGATCTCTGAGTTGAGGCTAGCCTGGTGTACACAGTTATTTCCAGGCCAGCTAGAACTACACAGTAAGACCCAGTCTCAACAAACCAAACCAAACCAAACCAAACCAAACCAAACCAAACCAAACCAAACCAAACCACAAAAGAATGACAAACTTTTGAAAGGGAGAGAGCAATGCTGGGTGGTGGCGGCACACCCTTTTAATCACAGCACTCAGAAGGCAGAGGCAGGCAGATCCCTGAGTCCTAGGCCAATCTGGTCTACAGAGTTCAAATACAACCGAGGCTACATAGAGAAACCTGTCAAAAAAAATTTTTTTAAAATAAAAAAAAAAAAAAAAGAAGGAAGGAAGGAAGGAAGGGAAGGAAGGGAGAGAAAAACCCTCTAGACCGTTTGGCCCACATTAAATCCCTGCTCTCATTGGCCCTGTTCTCCTGGTTGTCTTGTTTTACCCTGATTCCACCCTAGAGCCTTTGCACTTATTTGCATGAGTGGATAGCATTTTCTCTCCTTTCCTCTGGAAGGTCCTCTCCAGTCTTATGCTTTCGCCGTGTCTGGGGTAGCTTCCATGTCCTGAGAGCGTGTCTGCTTACCAGCACGTCCCCTGCTCAGAATGTGAGCTGCATGAAGGGAGGTTCTTGTCTACCCTCACTGTCATGTCCCTGGCATCTAGACTAGTGCTTGGCACGTAGTTGTCTAGGACTGATGACTGTGAAAGATCACCTCTTGCTTTATCACTGTTCCGAGTGATTCTCAAGATCACATGACACCAAAGATATGAATGCATTGTCAGGGCGGGTCACCTTGTCTCTGGGAAGCCCTACAGAGACAGACACACAGCCCTAGACGAGAGAGTCTGATCATGTTGAATAGAATGCTGATTTGTTTCCACACCAATCAGCCACAAGCAAGTTCCTTACTCCAAGCAAGTACGGACCACGTCCTTTTACCTTTGACTCTCCAGCACCAAGCCCAGAGCCTGACACATGATGATGAGGATCAAGCTTAGTTGCTGAGCCTATATGATCACTTAAGGTCTAGACTGCTAGACTGTCCTGGCTGAACTGGCCTTACCAGTGAGATCTAGAGAGGAACCTGACGAGGGAGTGGAGCGCTGATACAGGTAGAATATTTCTATTGGGAACAAATGACAGCAAAAGCTAGAGAGGGAGTCTGCCAGTTAGATGAGTATCAAGTACCTTTTCTCTGGTTCTCACAAGAAGCCTAGGCAGTGGATAGCAGGTGAAGACAGACAACTTCAGAGGGTCCACAAAAACGCCCAAAATAACATGGGTGGCAGTACAAGCAAGGGTCACACCAGGAGTGCTGACTCCCAGGCCAGTGCTCACCTGGGCTGCATGTATAGCATCATACATTTCTTTTGAGAGCACGGTCTCAATCAACCCACTGAAGCAGGACAGGCTGCAGGGCTCTAGCTAACCAGGCTCAGCACCTTGGAATCTGGGAGAGTTTCCTGGCCACACAGTCATGAAGTCTAGGCTCCAGGGAGACCAGCAATGGACGCTGCATAATACCAGCAGAGTAGGGAGATGTCATCCTCCTACATCCAAATACCTTAAATGTAGAAAGCTACATTCAGAGGGAGAATTCAGAGAGCCAGAGCCAGGCCCACACTGGTGATCAAGAAACCTGGGTTGCAATTCCTAGGTTACCTACACACTGGGCTCTCTGATCACGCCCTTGCCTTTCTAAGCCTCTGTTCTTCCTCTCCTGCTGGTAGAGGCACTGTCTGTGGCTCAGGGCAGCTGGGAGAAAGAACATGAATGGCACACTGACAAATGTTCTGCCTTCATGCAGATGAGGGCTGGAAATCAGCATTCAAAACAACAGGGATGCCAAG